CTTTTGCTTTTTTGATGTACTATGTCGTTGTAGGCAATTATAGACCTTGACATTGGATATACACGGCTATTGTTGAATGAGACACAACTTGCTTTCTTATCTATTCGGATGGCCGCCCGGGCAACTACACGAGCGTTGTGCGCTAAAATACCGCATCGAGCGTTCATTTCTGTTACGGGTTCTAATACTGCTCAGTTCCTGAACGGCTTATTGACGACGACGGTCCCATGGCCCGCTGTTGGTGGCTTCTACTCTGCCTTTCTTGCTGCTAGTGTACGTGCATCAAGAGTAAATTGATCAACTGCTAACAAATTTACAGGGAAAGGTTCTCTATGATGTTTTTTTGTGGCCGTTCCAAGCCGGCAACCAGAAAGAGGGTTACCTAATTGAATACGACCCTCGAGCGAGCGAAGCACCCAATCTTGAATCGATGCTAAAGAAACACGTTTTGCGATCAAGGGTCAAGATACAAAATGTCGCTGATGAGTGGGACGTGTGGGCCGCTTGGGGCCATGAACTATCTGAACCAGAACGCAAGTGGAGATTTGGAAGTCAAGGTGCTGTCGAACCAGTCTGGGAAAACGGCATTAGTACCTGGAAAGGGAGTGATAGTTTTAGAGTCCGGGATTTGAGAGCAGTTGGAATGGGCTCACGTATCCTCACTGCAAAGGACAAGAACCGTACGTCATCATTATAATTTCGAACTCGATTCTCACTATCGTCTAAAGCGGAAGAAACACAAACACATGAGACAGGTTCAGCAGAGGACTACACCATTCATAGGATACTACGCGGGGTTCCGGAAGGTTCCGTTGAACTACCAGCTCTGAGTGCTCTTCCCTTGAACTCCAACATGGACATAATGGGAGGAAGTAAGACAATTTCCTTTCGTGCGTAAACGGGCGCTTACACTTGACCTAGTCGACTTTCGGAAAGGCTGCTACGTCGGCCAGGAGCTGACTGTCCGCACTTATCACACAGGAGTGATTCGTAGAAGGATATATCCAGTCCAGATATATCCGCGGGATCAGAGGTTTGATTATCCCAATCCTTTATTGGTTAATCACTCAAGCTTTCTCCTAGCCCGCGCCCGATGGAAACTGTCGACAAAACTATTCCACAAATGGAGGCTACGTCAATGACCACATTCAAGGGCGACGCCGCAGAACGGGGGACGAAGCCAAAGTTGTTGACAAGTATTCATGGTGTAGGGCTCGCAGTCCTCCGATCGGCCCAGTTGCCAAATTTTGAGAAGGATGAGCTTAGGATGCAAGTAAAGGGGCCTGATGGAAGCATATTCAATGTCAAACCGTGGATGCCGTCTTGGTGGCCTAGAGAGGTCATACCGACGGATGTTGAGCAATAGCGTTATACAGCTTGTATTATAATACAGATCTAATTAGTGCAAGAGGCAAAAAGAACATTTTTTATTCCACTAAACTTTCACATTATTACTTATTTTTTTTCTTCCATTTTTCTATGGAATATCACCTATGCGCGGATCTGCCCAGGTATACAAGTTTCTATAAGTCATAGCCACCTCCGTCGAGAGTGCAGAAGAGTGCGAATCATATCAGATGCCCGGTCCGCACGCCGTACTGGACAACAGAGTGATGGGGGGGGGAGGAGGCAGACACTGCGGACGGCAGATTTGAATGTCCAGCAATATCACTCCTGCTCCCACCCCATTCATTTGATTATATCGCGATACATTTGTATCAGCCTTTGTCAGAAA